CTACATTTTGCACACACGCATCCATAATCACACCACATCACACTCAATCTTCAGCGCATCCAACACAAGGTCTATTTGAGCAAGTTTGCAATATCAACTGTTAAAGATTGTTCAACAAAGTTGCCAATGTTGATTGTTGCTTCCTATGCTTGTCATTTCAAAATCATTAATTTAATTTGAAGAATTAAATCTTTTAACTTTCAAACTTGTCTCTTCATTGAACTGAAACACAGACCCACGGATATTATCGACAGTTTATCGATGAAAACAACCTTTGAGTCTTCTTAAAACTATAAAATATGTAGGATGGTTCCTCTTTCATAAAAGAGCATAAACCATTACTCTACATAATTAAAAGAGCCTAATCAGGTTCACTACAGATACCTTCAGGGTGAATGCTGGCGGTCAGATGAAGTTTGCATCTGATGCAGCTTTGCAGGGTTACAAAAAAGGTTTGACCTTGAGGTCAAAGGAGGATGGTTCAACGCTTACTTGCTCAGCTTGGCCGGGCCGAGCAGATGGCAGAACTGACGAGTTCAGGAAGTGAACTCTCTTTTATTAACTACTGTTTATAAATTTGGACAAATCATAATTTGACAGGTTAAAGTGGGAGATATCAAAGACCTCAGACACCACTCCTTTCTCAAACGTTTAGAGGTTATCGCCCTTTATGTCAAGTAAAAATGTCAGACATTAATGTGAAGTAAATATGTTAAACATTCATAATATTATTAATGTGTGAATATAGTGATGAACAATTCAACAAAGTGACTAATCTGGTGTAATTGAAGATGTGGAATAAATCATCCTAGGAATAAACATTCATGTTAACTCATTATTCATTACTGTAGAGCGTTCAACGTTATAAAAACACTTTAGATTTAAAAACATATTGTAGGTACCACAGAATATGATTGTAATAACCAGAAAAGATACATTTACTAAAGGGATTTAATGTCTTGTGTAATGAAGTCAATAGAGGGTAAATTGGATTAAGTAAATTGCTTTTGAGCTATTTATTACTATTTTCATTACTTGGTGACCAATAGCTGTAATACTCTATTATTAGAGAATATCACCTTGCTTGGTCTTAGGATGATTAATTAGAAGGCTCTGGGATTAGTTTAATTATTAAGGGATCGTCACACTTTGCTTTGATTCAAGAACCAGTCAGTGTTTGCAAACAAATAAGAATTTATTTTACAAACAATTTTAAGCCTTGACAAATGGTTTAAACTATTATTTACTGTGAGTGGATGCAAACTAAGAGATGGGTGTCTGGAACTAGGTGTGAATATAGTCTTTCAGAGTCAAAATCTACGCCTCTCAGAGAGAGGTGAGTTCTGGATAATAAAAGAATTTGGTTTGCATCAGAGCTGTAAGCTGTTCTTCATACAGACGCTATCTCACTGTGTTCTACGTACCCAAGAGGAGTACGGATCCGAAATGTCAGGAGGTTGGAGACCCCGGGTACAGAAGTCCGTAGACCAACTCCTAGTACGACCAGGTCGGTCCAGGATCGCTCCAGGTAACACGGGTGGACTGGATGAAACCAAGCGTCTCAAAACAACTCTGAAGGAGTGTTGCACAATCAGCTTTGTTCTGCACGAAACATCTCTTGCTGTCCTCAGCTTTGCAGGTGCAAAAGCTTAAGGCTTTGACAGTGTGTCAAAATCCTTTGGTAGCTCAGCTAAAGATGGCCAGTCTTAAACCCTCGTTCTGTTGGAGGTTCGAACTTGTCTCTCAGGGTTGAAGCAGAGCGGCTGGTTTTATAGCCCGCTGTTTATTCAATTCAATTCAATTCAAGTTTATTTATATAGCGCCAAATCACGACAAGAGTCGTCTCAAGGCACTTCACATAATAAACATTCCAATTCACAGTTCATTAAGCCAATCAGAAATAATGTTTCCTATATAAGGAACCCAGCAAATTGCATCAAGTCACTGACTAGTGTCAGTGACTATACAGCAATCCTCATACTAAGCAAGCATGCAGCGACAGTGGAGAGGAAAACTCCCTTTTAACAGGAAGAAACCTCCAGAGAATCCTGGCTCAGTATAAGCAGCCATCCTCACACACACACACACACACACACACACACAAAGACAAGTAATGTGTCTATAGTTATATTGTGATGTCTTAGTAAATATTGTATTTGGTGAAAGATAAACTTTATTGTATTTATCCTAGTGGATCTATAATTAAACGGATAAACTAGTAGTAGCACATCAAAAGTCAATGAAAACAAAAAGTTATTATCAGGAGAGAGAGAATGTATTAGTGGTTAGCAGCAGTGTGCTAGTCGATGGCCCCCTCCATGAGGCCACCACAGCTCAGCAGAACGTCATCGCAGCTTCTTCTGGGGAGAAAAACACTTACAGGGAAAACAAAGTTACCAGCTGAAATTGCACAAAATAGTACAGTTAAAGAGCAGATAGTAGAAGAAAGCAGTAGAGTGTGAAAAGTGGTCAGTGTGTCCTCCAGCAGTCTAAGCCTATAGCAGCATAACTACAGAGTTAACTCTGGATAACCTATCCTATTTAGATGTAGGCATGTTGGAGGCAGGGCAAGGGAGAGTCGTCTTTACCGAATGTACACTCCACCTCCCTGTACTCCCCCACTTGTCCAGATTTAGGCTAACATCAGATTTTAACCATAGGCCCTATCAAATAAAAATGTTTTAAGTCTATTCTTAAAAGTAGACAAAGTGTCTGCCTCACGGACTAAAGCTGGGAGCTGGTTCCACAGGAGAGGAGCATGATAACTAAAAGATCTGCCTCCCATCCTAAGTTTAGATATTCTGGGAACCACCAGTAGACCTGCAGTCTGAGAGTGAAGTGCTCGGTTAGGAACATATGGAACAATCAGATTACTGATGTATGATGGAGCTTGATTATTAAGAGCTTTATATGTGAGAAGAAGGATCTTAAAATCTATTCTGAATTTAACAGGTAGCCAATGTAGGGAAGCTAAGACAGGAGAGATATGATCTCTCTTTTTAATTCTCATCAGAACTCTAGCTGCAGCATTTTGGACAAGCTGAAGACTTTTAACTACATTCTGTGGACTTCCTGAGAGTAATGAATTACAGTAATCCAGTCTTGATGTAATAAATGCATGAACTAGTTTTTCAGCATCACTCCTGGAAAGGATGCTTCTAATCTTAGCAATATTCCGAAGGTGGAAAAAGGAAATCCGACAAACTTGTGAAACCTGGGATTTGAATGACATGTCCTGGTCAAAGATAACACCAAGGTTCCTTGCTTTGTTCTCGGAGATTAATGTAATGCCATTAAGGTCAGGCAATTGGCTAAGCAATTTCCTTTTCTGGATTTCTGGTCCAATGATGAGAACTTCCGTCTTGTCTTGATTTAAAAGCAAGAAGTTAAGAGTCATCCAATTTTTTATGTCCTCAAGACAAGCCTGTAATCTACCCAACCGATTAGGTTCATCAGGGTTAATGGATAAATATAACTGAGTATCGTCAGCATAACAGTGGAAGTTTATCCCATGCTGTCTAATGATTTTACCAATTGGGAGCATATATATAGTAAAAAGAATTGGTCCAAGCACTGAACCCTGTGGTACTCCGCAAGTAACCCTGGAGTATGAAGAAGATTTGTCATGTACATTTACAAAATGAAATCTGTCAGACAGGTAGGATTTAAACCAGCCTAACGCTGTTCCTTTGATCCCTACAACATGTTCAAGTCTTTCTAAAAGAACATTGTGATCAACTGTGTCAAAGGCAGCACTGAGATCTAACAAGACTAGAACAGACACAAGATTCTTATCTGAGGCCATAAGAATATCATTTGTAACTGTCACTAATGCAGTTTCAGTGCTGTGATACTCTCTAAAACCAGACTGAAATTCCTCAAACAGAGCATTAGTGTTTAAATGCTCACATACTTGGATGGCCACTATTTTCTCCAGGACTTTGGATAAAAATGGAAGGTTAGATATTATATTGTTTATCTATTACCAAGGTTATCAAGGATTCTCAGAACGCACACTCTGTGATGCAGAGCCGCTGAGTCTGCGAAACAAGGTTAGTTTATGTGTAGTGCTTCTTAATTTAACCTTACTTCTTGTCTGGTGTGAGCGATCTAATCCAGTAAACATACTTAGCATCACTGAACAGATTCGTGAAACATTTCATCATTTATAATTATACATGGCAATATTTAGTGATTATTAATTGTAAGATCTTTTCTTCAAGGATTATTCTGAAATATAAAATGATGACTTATATTATGAAATATTTTTTTCTGGGAATAAAAGTTTACTTTAGGAGTTCTCTCGTGAGGAACCTTGGGGAAAGGAATGCTACTGTCATCTTTCATTATCTGATGAAGCTTCAGCTCAGCTGATGAAGTCATCTGATTGAAGAGCCTGCGTGCAGACGCTCCATCTCCTGTCAGGGTAAAATACAGCAGAACATGTGTAGCCAGGGTTGTTTGCTCTGGCCGTGCATCTGAACTGTTGGATCTCAAAATCAGTCCATTTGGTGACGTTACACTTGTGATGAGGATATTGATGCTGGCCATCTTTTTACCCTCAGCAACATGACCTTGAGAGTTGGACCAGTGTAACCAACATCCATTCCTATAATAAAGCCACATTAGTATGTTTGGTGTGAATCCTCGTGAGGGGAGAGTTGTTGTCAGAGAGCCGTTTGCTGATGCGGATCTTGTGATTCATCTAGAACGTTAGGCTGGATCAGGGACGGGTCTCAAACTGGGTTTTCACTGAAAACCTGTCTACCAAGTGTCCCAGAGGGGCGTTTACACTGGCAATATGCTTTATATATAACAGGTCAGGTGAGAGGCGTTTTACTTCTATATCCTGCCACTGTGACTGTTGCCATGGCAACATATCTGTTTAGTAAATTAGGTCTAAATGCAAGCTGCAAAAGTTTTGTGTCGTGCCAGAGCGCCGGAGGCCACGGCGGTTTTCCTCACCTGGGTCTGAAGGAACAAAAACCCATTCCACAACATTTAGCAACGTAAGAAATGTCCAGGTCTTTATTACATTCAACAGTACACAGAAATTGCACATTTTCACCAGACATAGCAGCATTCAGACCCTAGGCACAATCAAAACATGTAGATACAAACACACATGTGCTGCTGCTGCTTTAACTTAAGCTGGTCATTTACATGCTTGTAGAGATAAGTGACACTAGTAAACACGCCATCTGTTTCCCGCCCAGTGCTGAGTAAACCTTCTCAGAGAAATAAATACAAAATCATCAGATACAATCCTCCCACTGGGATTCTCACCTCTGTGTGCATTTCAGGAGTCAGGAAGGGACCTTCTGGCTTCCTTCTCTCACCAACTTCAGTTAAAGGTCTTTTTGTCCTCCTGACACCTGAGAGGAGAACCAGTGCAGCGCGTCTTTGCTGCAGTCATCGTGTCAGGCTGAGGTCTAGTCTGGAAATGCCTCCTGGGCTGGAAAAGCTGTATTTAACTGCTGAAAACTAATAATTACAGAGTATATTGTTTAATATAGCTAATGTTGGCAAAACAATTAAACTCACTTGGCTTTGATAGGTAGACTTCTACAAACCATAATACAATAAACACAAAGCAAACCTAAAACAGATGATGTCACACCTCCTCAGACCCACTCTGAGCCTTAAAGGCAGCAGTTTGATTAGATGAGATCACCGATGCTTCGGCGCTCCACCCGTTGTTTTTATATACAGCAGGTAAACCCATTGCCCCCCCCCCCCCATCAGCGCAACAAACATGTTCTAGTGAACCATGACTCCATCATGTTGGACAGCGTTGGTACTGTTCCACCTGTCTGGACCAATGACTGTATGAATAAAATGGACAAATCCTACGCGCCGTCACCCGTAGGTTTCTGAAGAGCTAAAGCCAAATGGGCGTATCCCACCACCGCCATCTTGGCTGCGTCACGTGTCTCGTCACTCCTGGAAAATGCTCAAATGAGCTGAGAGCGGGGCTGTGAGGGTGGGGGCAGATGATCGACACCCAGCAAACTCTGAGCCAATGTTGCTACAAGCTAAGCGAGCTAACTCAGTGGAGTGGTTTAACAACTGGTCTCAGGTCACCTGTTTACACCGCTGAACTTGAATCTTCACATTAAGATTTAAGGGTCTAAGGACCCAAAACTGTGTTCTCCTTCCCTTTGGATGGTCCTTTTCTTCCAAACAGTGTCATGTTCAAGTACCTAGTTTGTCTCCATGGTGATTAGTGCTTCCAGCAGCTCTGCATCTGTCCCATAATTTGGCTGAATGAAAACAAAAAATATTTAAACAATGACTGCATTCAAGTTCAGGGCCCTGCCTCCTTCCAGTGACACATTTTAAGGCACAGCAAAGCAATGAAGGCTGTCAAATTCAAATCCTCCTAATGCCCCTTCCTTTCCCTGGTTTTCAAGGAGAGGTCTGGTGTATCCTGACTGGCCCAGGCGCAGGAGAGGATTATGTTCTTAATGGCACAATAAGTAAGAATTTTACAGTGCCTCAACCACGTTGGAAGGAAGATTGTGCTGAAACAGATTTCCGTCCCAGCCGGCAGGGAAGAGGCCAGTTTTTCTTCTTACAGAGTGGCTAAAGAAGGGCGTGGTCTTTGTTTAGTATCTGTGAGATAGCAGGGTCACCTCGTCTGCACCACTCTAAAGCTGCTGCACCAGCATCTGTAATTTGTCACTAACCAGCAAAACGCAGGACCTAAGCCAGTAAATAGGAGCGACCCATAATCATTTCTTGTACCCCAGAGAAGCTACGGTATCTTTTAGTTTTACGCTGATATCGGGTGCAGAAGGCTCGAGGCTAACGTTGAGCTAACAATGCTAACAGTGAATTAGAAACAAATAGTCAGCTTGAAAAATATCTCAAGCTACTTTGTCACTAACCAGCAATTCGCTACTACAGTTTAATGTATTTATCTACTTATCAACTTACTGTGTATGATTTAGAACTTTTTTATCTGGTGGTACGAAAGTTACGTCTGTAACTGAGCTCGTACGGTGGGTCCCTTACTTCTCCCTGTGTTGCCAAGTATGGCAAGTATTGGTATACCATTTTCCATGGTTGCTAAGGCGAAAGGATTGACTTAAGGGTGGAATAAATATGAAAGCTAGACCATTCTCCTTGGTCCACAAACGACTCTGCCTTTGTGGACCAAGTCCTTCAAAGGAAGCAGCCCCTTAATTCGGACACAGCCAAAGATTATTGGGCAGAGAAGGGCAGTAATTAGCCCCTCGGGTAGGCATGTCTTAGTGTCAATAATGTTGTAATAAAATCTCTTATCGATAAGTAAAAATTCTTGGCTTTTTTTCTCAATTCTAAACCCATAAAAGGACTCTAAATCTCTCTTATTCCTGTAGCAACAACCCACTCCGGCCCACATCCGGCCTTCCTGAAGGCAGTGCTACTTCCACCCTGAGTACACAGAAATGAACCAAAGCCACTAATCAGGTCGCATGGGATCAAAACGGACTCTGAACACAGGCTGAGTTTTATTTCCTTCAAACCACAGAGCGATGCTCTCCACATACGTACACAGCGCTTGGTTGGATGCGCCTTTTTGTGTTGCCTGAAAGTTGGGGAAGAAACGTAAAGTATTTGGGCAACAAATCAAGACAGGCATCACGAAACTTTTTGATCCTCCAGTAGTAAATGAGAGGGTTAAAGGCAGACTTGAGGTAGCACAACCACAGGAACCACGTGCTAGTTTGAAAAAAGCTGTCTTTGTGGTAGAAGCCAGCACTGAAGGCAGTGACCAGGCAGTAGGCAGTGAAGGGTGCCCAGCACATTGTAAACACAGAGAAGAGGATGAGGATGGTGGTGAAAGCACGGGTCTTGAAGCTCATGTCTATGTTCATCTGGAAGGGCCTCTGGGCACTCAGCAGACCCAGTTTGCTGGCCTGGCTCAGACACATGCTGTCAGGGTGGCTGTAGATCCGGATGGTGTTATGGCGGATGGTGTTCAGGATCCCCATAAATGTGTAAAGCATGACCAAGAAAGGTATGAAGAAAAAAATCAGCATGAGGATCAACATATAGGTGCGGTACCAAGGGTCAGTGCTGTACCCAAACACACACTGGGGGGCCCTGGGGGGGGTCTGCAGAGGAGGGAAGCCAACAGCCAGTGGAAAGGAGAAAACAAAAGAGAGCCCCCAGGTGACCATGATAAGGAGTTTAGCTCTCTGCGGACTCAGCTTGTCTTGTTTCTGGACAATAATCAGAAAACGATCGATGCTTATTATAAGCAGTATGGCAACGCCTTCTATCACAAAGAACCAAAAAAGCATGGCTGAAATCCGACAGAACACATCTCCAAAGATCCAGCTGGTTGTCATGACGGTAACCAGAGCAAAGGGCATGTTGAGGATGGCCAGCATCATGTCTGTAAACGCCAGACTTGCCAGGAGAATGTTGATGGCAGAACGCATGGCGGACCTCTGGTACACCATTAGGCACACCACCACATTACCTGCTAGGGCCACCAGTAAAATAACAACCATGACTAAGCTGAAGAAGACCTGCAGAGGTAGGCTGACACCTTGCAGGATCTCCGGGGTCTGGGTTGTCGGCAAGACGGGCAGTGGTGGAGACCTGGAGGCCTGGGACACGTTTGCCATGGAAACGTCCTCCATCGTCGAAAAGCCTCTTCAGAAGCCCCGTAAGGCAGTAGTGGCAGGTGGTGCTGTCCCCTGCTCTGGAATGGGAAATGGTGGAGGCAAGAACCATTCTTCTACAATGTGCATCATCACACCCAACATGATGCCATGGATGAAGCGTTGCTTCAGTGCATCACAGGTCAATCTTCACAGACGACATGTCCTAGGACACAAAACAATCAGTCAAGCTGGAGTCCAGTCAAACTGTACGAGTCAGTAAAACGCAGATAAAATAAAAATATAGGGATTCGTCATGATACATTATTGTAGGACCTGATGAAACCAATAAAATTCTGCTTTTACTTTTTTTCCTAAATTCGGTTGATTGATTTTAACTCATTCACTGCCAGCCGTTTCCTGATCACTAACGGCCTTCGCTGCCAGCGTTTCTCACCGTTTTTACTGTTTTTTTTAAGAGTCACAGAACGTTGCGCGCTAGCATGATGTCGACGCCAAAACAACCAAAACAAAGCGGAGACTCACCTCTTACATCAGGAAGAAGCCGCGTGTTTCGAGCGTTATCCGTTCTTTCATAATCTGTTGTCGAATTGTGATCGGCAGACGCTTTTCTGGTTCGCGCCTCACTTTTTTTTACAGGAACGGCCCAAAACGATCTCCTAACACATGGATGTGTTGCTTCCTGATCACGTGACGTGTGACGTATGCGGATGAAGATCGGCTTCAGGGTTGAGATGTTTGTTCTCTCAGCGCAGGGGCTCGTTCCGATGCTCAAGCAGTAAAAAATGCAAATGACGACTTTAGCCGTCATTGGCAGTGAATGAGTTAACATATTAAACAATAACGCAAAAAGAAAAATGATGACAGACTCGTGTCACATCTCAGAGTGAGACAAAGAATAGAACCAAACAATGATATTCATGGTGCAAAATGTACAGGTAAAACACACCGAGACACTGTAATAAAGACAGGTATAACCAGGCTGTGGATTAAAGTGTAGTCCAGGTTGCAGTAGTGAATCCACTCCATAGATATTCCAAGTGTGTTTTGAAATTATCTAAGAAAAGGTTTGATCCATATAGAATATAAATATGAACATTCATGATTGGTCCTTATCACCTACGGCAGTGTCAGTGCATTCTAAGAATAACAAAAATTTCCCCCACATCTTTTAAAAGTGGAGTATTTGATAGTGATGCACCGATATGAAGTTTTTGAGCCGATACCGATATCCAGTATTAAGCTCTCCGTTATGGCCGATAACCGATATTTGCCGATACCGATAAACTGATATTATTTCTTCTAAAATCAGCAGATTTTGTACAGAATGAAAATTACTAAAGCGGAATTTACATTATGGACACACAACACACACATTTACGGTTCTGAGATTATTTAATTCACTGTTCACATGACTAACCAATTACAAATCACCCCCCTCACGCTCTGAAACAGGCAAACAAATAGAGACGATATGGAAAAAATATCGGTTGTTAATATTGACCCAGCTCTGTTTATCAACAGATGAGCAAAGAAATGGATAACATCAGCTGATACCGATATCGATGCCGATATATTGTCCATCCCTAGTATTTGCCTTTAGCCATAAAAGTGAGTTTCTCTAAAGCTAGTGAGCAAGTTCTCAAGTGCAGTCTGGTTCTAAAGCCTCATTACCTCAAATTAGGGAAAACTAGGAATGTGCTGGAATTTCATTTTTTAAATATATGTGCCTTAAACCAGGCTCGAATGGTGTTTTTCATGAATGCAATAGCTGCATTTTTATTAAACCTTTATATATATTGTGCTGAATACATGTATGAATTGTGTGGTTGGGGTGTTTTCTAAATCTACCCAAGACAAGGTCATATTAAAGGGATTCCACACTAGCACCGACTCTTCTCTGCCTAGATAGGTAAGGAGTAGGGCTGCAACAAACGATTATTTGGATCATCGATGAATCAGGTGGGGTCTCGACTCAATTAATCGGATTAAATGCGAAAATTTAAAAACTGCTAGGGAAACATTTTTTTTTCTCTCTTTGTGCTGCCCTTAGTCAGTGAGCAATGTTGCCACCTAGTGGCCAAGGAAGTTAAATACAACTGCTTTGTTTTTATTGGTGCAGCTGAGGCAGCAAATACTGTGTTAAAGCTAATTAACAGTTTAGAGTTATTTTTTAACCACATTTCCCCATGAGTGCTGGAAACATATGCCTGTAAGTATTTAAGAGCATACTTTGTGTTAACTTCTTTCGTGTGAATATTGCATTTTATTTGGGGGCCGTTTTTTTGTAGATGCTAATCGTTAGCATAGAATGTGTGTTCCCATAGACATTAGCCTTAAGCTAGTGGACTTTTTGCTAACACTTGTTATAATTACTTTGAACAGCCTAGCTGTTCAGACGGCTATGTAAGCCTACATCTTGATATTTAGTCATGTATGAAACTTCTAAAAAATGTCATTTACATTTTTTTTAGAGTTTTCATTTGAGAGGCAACAAATAACCGCCTGAACCTTCAAGCGTGCGCCCGTCATTGAAAAACTGTTTATCTGTCTGCCAAACTCTGCCGAGAGGTTCAGGGAGGGCAGAATGGTAAAGAGGCATCCATGCGTTGCTCAGGGAAACTACAGCTCAACTCTGCATCCACACAGCTTTACCATAAGAAGTGAGCCAGCAAACATGGACAATTCAACAGAACTCCAGGAAGGGACTTTGGAAACAAGATCCAGAGTATCTGGTTCTACACGCTCAAGCCATCTTACATCTTCAGCTGCTGCTGCCAGAGCTACGGCAAAAGCAGATGCTGCTCGGATCCGGCTTTCCTTTGCACAGAAAGAAGCTGAAATTTTGAAGCAACAAACTGAACAGCTTGGTTCATCAACCGGATGCCACCAACCGTCAACCGGATGGCATCTGGGAGGACACCAGCAGGATTGATCAACGGTCGGCAGAGACAAGTGGTTCCAGTGACTCAAGTGACCCTGCCTCATCAAGTGGAGAGGCTGCTCGAGGGGGTGCTGCTGCAGGAAGATCGAGGGGATGCAACCCTGGGAAGGTCGAGGGACATGGAGCTGTGGAACAACGTGTGGTTCGTCAGAGGAGGCCCCCCGCTTGGTTCAAGGATTATTGTGTGGATGTTTAGGACTCGAGGGCGAGTCCTTCAGGGCAAGAAGGGGGAGAGTGAAAGACAGAAGACGGGAGTTGCCGGATTCTGAGGGCGGTGTGATTGGACACCGGCCGGTCCTTGTTACGGGTAATGAGGCCGGAGAGAACAAAAGGGTGGCAGATCTACCAAGGTGGTGTGTGTGGTCGACCTGTCATTGTGGCACCAGATCCTGGGGGGAGGGATCGTTCGCAGTCGTTTAGGACTGCCGGCGACGAAGATAGTTGAGCAGGTGGCTGTGTTCCAGCGATAGGAGGGAAGGCGTGACGCCTTCTTTAGGTAGCGAGGGCTGGGAGTAGTTGGGTGCCGAGACCACGCCGACATCTGCCGCCACAGACTCTGGCAGCCGGACCTAAGTTGTGGATTTACCCGCCGTCCTCGCAAGCTGAGCCCCGGGGCGTTGGACGGTGTTGGAAGCTCAGAACCCGGGGAGGAGGGTCGCATCAACTGGGGCAGCTAAGTACCGCTGCTTGTTTAGATATATGCTGATCAGTTGGCTTTTAAAGTGAAGGACTAGTGATTTATTGTTGATTGTGATTGTTTCATTATTGCCGGTGTGAATAAACGCTCTTGTGGATAAGTTGCTGCCTACTGGTGCTGTTTCCGGGTTCTGCCTGGAGGGCAAGATATTCTGCCCGTGCTCCCACTGAAACTTATATTACATACAAACATGTGTTTTAGTGACGTTCACAATTATTTAGTCCCTTCAGCGGTGCTTTAGGAGAGTGTACAGTAGCAATGTGTCGCTCAGAGAAATTAATTATTATTTATCAGCATGAGAAACGTATTTCTATCCATTTCAAACTTTTTTCTAAACTATATTTTTTCACAGGTCCCATCAGTTAATGTAATAATTGTTCCAGGCACGGCGACCAGAGATGCGCTCCAACCCCCCCACTCCGTTTCCCCTCACAGCAATCAGGGGAAAGGTGTGTGTGTGTGTGTGTGTGTGCGTGTGTGTGTGTGTGTGCGTGCGTGTGTGTGTGTGTGTGTGTGTCGTACATGCACATATTGCTGTTTTTAGCAGATCCAGAGCCTGCGGGCAGTGTTTCACTTACATAGCCGTAGCCGTAGCGACCCGCCACGGCTGAAATCCCAGCGCCACTCCTACAAGATCCCATTTTATAATTTATTTATTTTTTGCGCCGTTTCCCGAAGAAGCAGCGGGAACTACTCTGTTGTTGCTTGTGATCACAGCCGGCAGGCAGCAAGGAGGAGGAGGCAGGGCAGGGTGGTTAAAGCTAGGGATGAGTCGGATACTCGTTTCAGACGCGTATCCGGTACGGATAAAGCATTTTTGACGAAAACGAGCACGAAACGAGTAAAACTCGAAAATATCTGTAATCATGCTGAAGAAAAATCCTTATTGGGTAACTGACTGCCTTCACGCTCTGTGATTGGCCAGTCACATGGAGCGCCCGCCCCTCCCTAACACAAAAACTGCAGCCAGAAGCCCAGTCCGAGTCCGGCCCATCCACGCGCGCACACACACACACACACACACACACACACACAAAGACAACAGATATCTTTGCTTGCTTCACTGTTGCTCACGTTTCTTCAGTACTCCCTAGGTTTTCTTCAGCTCGCCTTTTTTTCAGTTGAATATTTAAATTTACGTTTTTCATAACGTACGTGGTGCATTTGACAAGAACTGCTGAAAAAGGCTCGTGCTGCGTCGGTCACTGCCTCTGTTCCGGTCGGGTTTTTTAAATTATTTATCTCTCTCTCTAAAAAGTTGTGTCTGGTTCTAGTACTTCATATTTCCTAGTTCCTACTGCATATTTCCTAGTTCCTACTGCATGAGTTCAGATGACGACTCCAAATCCACGAAACACATGTAGATTGGTTGGGCAAACTTCCTTGCACCCTCCAAAATCCCCTTAAGAGTATAGTGGGCTGCCACAATTAGTCGACTTGTCACAACGACGTCAACAAATGAAGCAGTCGACTATTAATTTAATAGTTGAAGTGTCATTTATTTTATAAACAATTTTCTAATCTTACCTGTTGCGGCACATTCGGCGGTTGCTTCCTGCCTCTCTGCTCGGTCGCCACTTTAGCTCTGAGGCGCATGTGCAGTAGTGGCCATCTAGATCAGCATTCGTCACCGGAGAAAGAAAACATGGTGAGTCAGCAACGTAACTCAAAAGTTTGGGAGCATTCCTCAAAGACAAAAGAAATGCCCATAGAGTGCCAACTCTGCAATTTGAAACTCTCCTTTCACGGAAGCACATCGGCAATGCACAAGCACCTTAAAAAGAAGCACGTCATGGCGGAGAACAAAGAGTCACCTCCGTAAGTTTACCTCTTGTTAGTTGCTAACATAGCTGTAGCAACACCAATTGCGATGGTGATTTTATTGCCGTTAAGACATGTTTGCATGTTACGTATTTTTGCTAATTACAAACGCTAATTATTTATTTCATCCTGTGACATTACAGCGTTAATAAGAGTGCTCCTCTTCAATGGAGGAGTTTGTTACGTGCACATCTCAGCAAGCTAATGTCCTGACCAAGGCCATTGTGAGCATTTTGGTCACGAGACTCCTGTCCACGCTGAGCAATTAACGGATGATCAAGCTGCTCAACCCAGGATACCACGAGAACTACCTACCAGACCGATCCCATTTCAACACCACGATAGAAAAGAAAAGTGAATCTTTAAGGTGTGTTTGTGCGCACGTGGTGCATCTTTGTCTCTGTTTCTCTCTGGACACAAAATAAACATTAGAATATAATGCATTTTATGATAAAATAAAATGGTTGCTGACTGAGCAATCAAGAAACTAATATATTTTAAAGCATGAAACATTTTCTGTTTCTGTGTATTAATCTGGTAAATAAACTAACTTTAATATCTTATCTTTACGATAAAGCAGACCCTCAGAGCTGCCGATGGTCTACAGAGGTGTACTTTGGTGTGTCCTTCCATTTCCTGAGTTAAGACTGGAAGATGAAGCGCTTCATCATTGCCACTAAGCCTCTTGTGAACACAAGTCATCCCCAGGAGTTTGTAAATAGAGGAGGAATCTGCCTGTTTTCCTCTAGTTCGCCCTCTTCTCCGCCTTCACTAACATCTCCGCCAAATACCGAAGACCCGGAACAATGCCCGTCCGCTACTAGATTCCTTTCCTGTGTTGCCCGCCTTCGTCTCCCGGCAACGGACAACAACTTCCGGGGTCAGATGCGCTGCTCCGTGTCTATCGCAGATGTAGAACATCACCGGGAGCGTTTCTCCCTTCATTAAGGAGCTTCTTTCAGACATTAGGAGAGCTGTTTTGGTGGTAGCAGTCTCTCCTCCGTGCTGGTCTGTTTGCTGCTGGGTGTTTTTGGTTTATTTAAACTTGGTAACTTGAACTTAACGTTGGTAAAGCTACTGTTAGCATCTTCGCTAACAGCTTCTTGCGTTTGGATAAGCTGTTACGTTTTGGTTTAGAGTTCATCTTTTTTGTGGTGCAGATCTCCCTTTTATTACATTTAGAGTGTTGTGGGTTTTCGGTTTAGTTTAAAATATCACCTTGAGTTTGGTTTAACCACCCAGTTTAGAGTTTGGACCTTTGGAGATCCTTATTTTGGTCCAGAACCCAGTAATCTTTGCCCAGTGGGACATCCCTAGTTATTTGTACTTTTGTTTTAATTCCACACAGGCAGAGTTAGTTTTATTATTCCCAACCTGTGGATGGAAAGATTTATGTTTTTTTGTAGTTATAAATAAACCTGATCATTGTTTTAACTTTTAAATCCCGTTATTGTCCCTTCCTTTTTGCACACGAGCCAAACTCCCCAGGAAGAGTCGTAACACCACTCGCCTCACGCACATAAGTGACCAGAACAAGCAGCATGGAGAAACTCCATCTTCTACCACCTCTCAGGCAGCAGCCTGCTCTTCCAAGTTGTACACGTCACCAGGACATAACCAACCACAACACAAGAAAAGCAGTGTTATACAAAATGGAAGGCCTGTAGTGTTTATTCTCTTACAGTAACAATTTATTAATGTTTTTGAGGAATTTATTTGAGATTTTCTGGTTTTTGTTAATTGTGCAATAGAAAAATAACCATTAGATTAATTTTCTAAATAGTCATTAGAATAGTCGACTATTCGATAAAATAATCGTCAGAATAATCGTTTAAAAAAGAATCATTTACCCCCAGCCCTATTTTTCTGCTTCCGTACGTTTTTTGGCATTTAACTACTTCCACAATTCTTCAACCATTTACACAATTTTGGTATCAAAACATTCAGCTTGTTCAGCTTATGCCGGCAATGACTTTTGGTATTAAAATATTTTATACTTTTGAGATATTCAGCTTTTTCTGCGATTTTTGGTCCCATTGAAATGAATGGGATTGCTCAATTCCGTGCTGTAGTTCTTTTTTAAAACACAGAGCGGTTTTGTTTACCCGTTTTCCTACATGGGAATAAAACAGGTAAACAAAACCGCTCTGTGTTTTAAAAAAGAACTACAGCATGGAATTAGAGATACGACACAGCAAGAACACACCTAAGGGATTGCACAATTTTCAGCTAAATCCTATCACTTTTTTGAACTCTTACTCCTTTAGATTAACTTTAACCTAGAGACTTCATTCAAGTTTCAACAAACTCACAACAATTTCAGCTATTACTGGTTAAAAAATCTTTTTGATATCTATTACAGTTTTTCTAAAATCACAGGTAGAAGTTGAGGTACGGCTTGAGTTTTTCAGAAAAAAATCTCAAAAATTATAATGGGCAGATATTGGAGCAATGAACCTCCTTTGCTCCATTTCTAGCATTGTCCTGAGAAAACCGTAAGTCCGATTGAAATGAGATGCACGCTGGCTTGCAGCTAACAGATGTACCTTCGTTTTGAGCTATAAATCATGACTGTACTCAAAACATTGTGGTCGTATGGTTCATTTATTTGACAATATTAATAAAAAGAAGTTTCTTCCACTCTAAACTGAAAATGCCACTAACTTTTGACCTTCACATTTTCTGGAAACAATTCTTTGCAACACCCAGACCGTTTGGAGTACCAAAACAAATTAGAACTGAAAAGTAGGAATTTTTGTCAGCTTTTCAGAATGGGTTTCATTTTGTCCTTAAGTGTTACGGTTCTTCCTCTACAAGCCTCTGAAGGAGGAGAGACCCTGATTCTGTCTCATTGAAACCCATGTTAAAGGAACAGAGATTTTCTCCTCCCATCTGCTACAGACAACTAAAATGTTCTCGTCGTAGCTTCTAGACAATTCATGGTAGGCAACAGGGCTGCACAATATATCGAAAAATTATCGTCATTGCGATAACAGGACGTGCGATAGGTCCGTCGCAAAGCACGTCAAAAACGGCGATAAATGTTTGGTTCAACATTTCCATCCGTGTCATACATCAACTTTTTGTAAACCAGCTGTTTTTTACGCTGAAGTATTATTTGACCAATCAAATGTAGCCCATCTGATATGCGGCCAATCAGATGGATCCGTTCACGTAATACACCCGCCCCCTACGTAGATCCTTAGGGTGGAAAGCAACACCCGAACTGAGTTAGTGGCGCCGTTCCCTTGTTCGTCATGCTGGCTCAGAGCAACGAACGCACTTTGTGCTGAGGTTTCTGGAATCAGCTCAGCTTTCAACCGTGAACGTGAGTCCGCTCGGTGTCGTTAATCATTTTTACCGGGCTGACTCCGACACGTGCCGGTGAACCAACCCACCTTCATGTCGCTAGTGTTCCACCGGGTGGTGACGTTAGCCCCAGGCTCCGGTTAGCTTCCAGCTAAAAGGCTACAGCACTCTCCTCCCAGTCCCACCCTGCTAAAGAGGGCCCGGAAAAGTTCCCCCACACATCAAAGTGATTTTTCATTTATGAGCTTTTATAACCTTGTTAATCAGGATAGTTGATTTGCTGCTGCACATAAACTGTCAGTCAGAAGCTCTGCTAGCCGCTTATCTTAGAGGAGCTAGTTCAATTTGTTAGCTTGTTATCAGAATCATAGTTGCAGTTTCATCATCTGAGCTGCTTTTTAAGATCTAGGTAAACTTGTTCAATTTGGGGTTAAAAACAAACGTTTTCACATATGTTCCATGTATTTTTTTTTGCCAGTTCCTCTTCTGAAAGGTAGACAATTGTTTTTCTCTTTCCCTCAGAAAATCTTAATATTCTCCTAGTTTGGCCCAGCACAGTCGTCGTCGTCCGTCCCCCCGCCCCCCCGCGCGACCCTACATGGACAAAGCAGGTTCAGAAAATGGATGGATGGATTTGAAACTTTCATATGAATCAATTTAAAATCCTACAAAAAATTAAAATAAAATGAAATCACGATACAAAGTCTGTCAAATGTTACTACCCCTTTTAGTTTAAAATACAATGCCTAAGGCTATGGATACCAAACAAAACTGGTCATGCCACATTACTATGCTACTAGATCAGCGGCTAAGCTAAAGCCAGCCAGGACACAACCACCCCCAATAACAAAGTCTTACCGGCTGCCTTCCTGCTGCTTTGTTTGACACTTTCCCAGCGCCACAAAGGCTTGCCACAACAGCAGAAAACACTTCACCTTCACAGTATGACTTGCAATCTGTGATCATAATTTATCATTTATCATTTTATATTTTTAAGGAAATGTTATTGCAAAAGCCTAACATTGTTGATTTTAAACTGTAGGTACTAGGTATTAAGTACTAAGTATTAAGTAGAAGTAAGTTTGTGTACTAAACATGAGCATGGAGCAGTGAAAGCTGCATTAACTATCAAACACAGACACAAACAGCAACTCTAACTCACATTTTCTTCTACCTCTAGATGCTTTGCTTACATTTCTAAGTCATCTTCAAAAAGATGTCTCCACTGATGAAGGTAGAGTGAATTTTGTTCTTTCAGCTGTTAACAGTGACCCATATCAGTTTGCTAGCATTAGCCTTTTTTCCAGCATCACTACTAAGAGCAACTCGGACCAATGCAGCTCGGCCCGACCACTGTTACCAAGGGCACCGTTTGGTATTTTCTCTTTACTTTCTCCCCTACTTTTAGTCCCGGCTCATTGAGGTACCTGGCAAGGCTGAGTCGGGCCAGCATCGTGATTCTGGCTGCTGATTTCTAGGGGGCGGAGTCACTGGTTTCTTTGGACTTTGTTACTTCTGCTTAACTGCCTTCAGCCATTTCCTGGTTCAGAGTCGGACAAAAAGCCATAAAACTGAGCAAAATGTCAAGCAACACCACCATTTTCAGCTGAGTTGTATTTCTGTGGAGCACGCTAGTTACCTTACACCGTTTACTGATACCTTCATGTTATTTTGTCTTCTGTTTCTAACAGTGATGTGATTTTATTTATTGTTACACTCTGTAACAGTGTGTTATAATAATACAAACATTCTTCTTTTCCCGACTGTATTGTCAACTCCTGCTCTCATTCATGTGGAAAACGATGAGGAAGAAGAACACTTGGAAGAAACTATCTCCAGCAGTGCCATGGCCTCAAAATTAATGCCAGGATCACACTGTGTGATTTTTGGCCGTCTTTGCCAAATCCCTCGTCCTGAGCAGAATCGTGACCAAAAAAACGGTCAACGTCAGGGTGATTTGCATATATGTGCACCACACTTGAGAATATTTGATATTTAAGCACAAAAGTGGCACGACATGGACATAACTCATAAATCATTCTTCATTCTAGGTTTGATTTTTTCTGCTAAATGCAGCAGCACTTTGTTTATAACCAATTTCAGTTGTGCTTTCTGCTTGTTTGTAGCCATGTGATGGTGGGAGGATTTTTCTAACGTAAACATTACCATACATGCAGTATTATGCAGGATACGTAAACATAAAGGTTGTGCAATCATAAACAGCGTGTCCACGCTGTGGCTCTCTTGTGGGGGGTGGGTTAGGATCGGTTTCAAGGTGAATTTTGACAGAGGGGGTCCTAAGGTTCATACTGCCTGGGGTTCCCCAAATGCCTTAAAACGGCCCTGCCTGAGGGGTAGGAACACCCTGGATGGACCAGGACTGCAGGGTTCTGGTCAGATCTAGGTTGCTTAAAACTGGGCTTGATTTATTCATCATTACTTCTGACTGTATTAATAATATCCACATACGTATGTATGTGACAGCACTCGTGCTCTATCGGGTTCAGCATGTTCCCGGTGGTATTTTACCTGCTTCTCTCACGTGCTGACGCTGAAGCTCACCGGATCCTCCACAAACACCGAACATCCCTCCGTCGCCGGTCTGGACACGGAGATCAAACGGTGCCTTTATGTTTTAAACAATGTCTGCAAGAAACTCCAGGAGCCCGTTAGAGGCGTCGGACTGGTTAGCAGGCTCCGGCCGCTGCCGCCGCCACCTACACACGCGTAAAGGACCGGAGCCGTTCACAGCTAGTTTCCGCCTGCACCTACTTCCGGCAGCTTCTAAAACATAAACACGGCTTCCTCCTGCTCTCTGTTGGTTTCTTTTGTGCAAATGTGAAGCCGGAACCATAGAACCGTCCAGGCAGCATCCCGGAATCGGGAACCACAGCTACTTATGCGGCTCTGAAAACTCAGCCGACAGGAAACACACACCACTTCCGGTTTTTATTTAAAAAAATAAAGGCCAGAAACCTTTATTTTAGCAAACGTTTCCTTTTTTAAGGTTTCCCACGAATTGAGTTTATATAGTATTACTATGGGAGCCTCTACGTGTTTTCACACAAAACCAAAAATAATCTTTGGTGCCTGTTGAAGAAGCACTCTCCTGACATCATGTGTCTTCAAAATTCATGGACACTACATGTTAAATGGCACATATCACACAGGATCAGAAAGTAACTTAGACACTTCCAAAATTTTACTCTGGCAGAAGGGGGCCTAAGTAGATGAGTGTGACTTAAGCTTCCTAGGGTGGAGAATGCTGTACCCCCCATGGTGGGGTCTTTTCTGCTAATTCAGCCTTCTCCACAGCCACATCAGAATATCTGGCAGGTTGGATAAACAATGCAAAAATGAGCTGTTTTGGTTTGGAGAAAAACATGTTCCTACTCATCCACAGATGGCTGATAACTATAACATCTGGTTCGAATCAGAATCAGGGTTTTATTGCCATATGTGCGAGAATCACAACAATAGGAAAGTGCTGCGGTACTTGGTGCAACAAAGGAAGGTAAAAATAAGAGATAGGAAATTATCTCTAAGATGTTTATCTGATTTGATTAAGAAGAATAATCATGATAAAATAATAATATAAAGTGGCAATAATCAGAGAAAGAGCTGCTATATAGAAGACAGTGTAGGTACAGATCAATTCAATTCAAGTTTATTTATATAGCGCCACACACGACTAGAGTCGTCTCAAGGCTCTTCACATAGTAAACTTTCCAATACAGTTCAGATCATTAAGCCAAACAGTAAAAGGTTTTCTATTTACCCAGTAAATTGCATCGAGTCACTGACTAGTGTCAGTGTCTTAACAGCAATCCTCATACTAAGCAAGCATGCAGCGACATTGGAGAGGAAAACTCTCTTTTAACAGGAAGAAACCTCCAGAGGATCCTGGGCGTTGTGCGGGGGAGCCTGCTCATCAGCACCCCAGCAGAAAGGGTCAAACTCTGGTTACCGGTGATGGTTGTACCCAGTGTGCAGCAGTACCGGGACCAGAGTGAATAGGGTGTGTATGGGGAGCATGAGTGGGTGTCCGGCGTGCATTTTTGTAAGTCTTTGGTTGTATGTGTATGTGTGAGCATGAGGGAGGGAGTGTGTGACTGTGTTTGTGTATGACTGTATATGTCAGGTGGGGCCTTTGACTCCTCCCCTCTCCTGGGACTTCTTTTGATGATATAGATCTTCGTCTCCCCTCCCCCTGCCACACCTGGTGTGGGGTGTGGTGCCTTGGTCTGCATGAGTGTTCGTGTCTCCCGGGTCAGGGGGTTTAAGATTTGGCATCTGCTTGATCAATCCTGGTGGCTGCCTGGTGGGGTCTGGGTCCCTGGGCTCTGCTGGGTCCCCGGCGAGGGTGATCGCCCCTGGGCCCCGGGTCGCTGGGTCCCGGGCTCGGCCGGCTAGGGGGTGGGAGGCGGCGGGCGGGCTTGTGGGCTTGCCGCTGATATCTCCCGGGACTCTGCCGGCTGCTGGTTGTGGCCCCCCAGGGCGATCCTCTGTGCCTCTCGAGGGGGGCGGGGGCCTTTCTGGTTGCAGTCTCCTTGGGGTTCCTGCGCTCTGGGGCAGCGCCTGGATCTCTGGGACTTGGAGCTCCCCCCGTCTCCTACGCATCTTTAGGGGGCAGATCTGTGGCCCCTCACACTCTCTGTTGGACGCTCCTATAGAGAAACCTTACATAAACAAGCGCGTGTACACACACAGGTGCTCACATGGTGCTCTCAAAAGTATGGGCTTGGGCACGTTCAACACTTGTCTCAAGGCTGTCGTTGCCACTAAATGCACTGTGATTTATTATCGTGTGATTGTTCAGTTAAACAATACTGATTTTATATTCCATCATCACGTTGACGCAATGATAGCTTTCTCCTGTTGTATTGTTGTGTGTCCCTTCTTTTTCTGCTCTTCTCTTTCTGCAGGTCTAGAAGCAGACTCTTGTTCATTATTGTTTATTTTGTGGAACCCCCCCCCCCCCTCTCTCTCTCTCTCTCTCTCTCTCTCTCTTCCCACCATTTGTCTTTTCCTTTCTCTTTCACCTCTGTCTCCGTGTCTGGTCGGAATTACAAAGCATTCAAAAACAATAACAATAAAGTTTGAAGTATCAGGCGTGACATTAAAAGCAGACGCTTTGATGTTCCACCTGAGAGTAAATCTGTAAGGCTTGTCACCAGCATTCAGACATCAATTCTGCTTGCTTCACAGCCAGACAGGACACGGTTAAAAAAAAAGACGCCTATGGGACACTTTGAAAATTTGGTAATGCCGTTTGGCCTCTCAAACGCCCCAGTGGTTTCCCTGGTTAACGCTATACTGGGTGATTTCATGAACAAGTTTGTAACGGTTTATCTTGATGTTATTTTGATCTTTTCAAGGACCCCTGAGGAACACTCCAGACATGTTTGTGCCGTTCTCCAATGCCTGCTAGAGAATCGTGTCTACGTCAAATCGGAGAAGTGTAAATTCCATGTTCCCTGAGTTAAGTTTTTGGGCTTCGTTCTCAAGAGTGGGAGACTGAGACCTGACCCTGCGAAGGTCCACGCAGTCCGGGACTGGCCTGCACCCAGTACACATGAGCAATTGCAAAGATTTCTGGGCTTTGCCAATTTTTACAGAAGCTTTATCAAGGGTTACAGCCAGACAACCACATCATTGACACAACTAACCTCCGTTAAGAGGCCTTTTGTATGGAACACTGAAGCCGACGTGGCTTTTTTCACCCTGAAAGAAAAGTTTACACAAGCGCCTGTCCTGACCCGTCCTGATCAGTCACAACAATTTACACTCGAGGTAGAGGCCTCTGACACAGGTGTGGGTGCTGTGTTGTCTCAAGTCTAATCGCTCACCGGGACCAGACGGAATAACAAGTAACTTCTACATGCACTTTTGGGACGATTTAAAGTTACTTTTAATTAATTGCATTAATTGAATGTGTCAACCAAATTTGGTTAACTAAATGCTCAGAGGAAAGTGAAAAAAAGATTATTCAGAACACACTGGATAATTGCAAAAATAACTTAAACCATTGGTTACAGAGAGATTAAACGCTGTTTGGCAGAACATTGTTCACCAAGATCGAATCCTTGTTCAGATTAATCTCTCCAGCGTACTCCCTAGCCACCCCACCAAGAATTATGAAAAAAATCAATAAGGCAAACTTTAACTTTATTTGGAAAAACAAACATCATTATATTAGAAACAGGGACATGAGAAAGGACTATGAGGAAGGGGGGTTAAAAGCAATCGATTTTGAAATAATGAATGGAATGTTAAAGATTAATATGCTCCGATCCTTTCTAAAAAATAATGAGATCTGGTTCTTGATACCTTCTCTTATTTTCAGCAAAGTAGGGGAATTGAATTTCTATTAGTGTGTGATTTTGAAATTTCTAAATTACCCATAAAATTATCAAAATTTCATCAACAAGTCGTACTAAATTGGAAGTTGATGTTTAAACATAATTTTAGTCCTCATAACGTTCGTTATTTGTTTCATTCAAAGTGTTTATATATATATATATATATATATATATATATATATATATATATATATATATATATATACATATATATATATACAAACAACAAAAAAAAGCATACATAAACATGAACACCAAACAATTTGAATGAAAGGGGGCAGAAGGAAGAAATATCTTTTATTATCTGCCCCTATTCTATTAAAACAAGGTGATTTTCACCATATTTCCACACTGCGCGCACCTTTATCTGACACGGGCAGAATAGAGATGTAGACTGGATCTGGAAAATGTCCACAGAGCAGGATTTTTCCAGTTTCTCATGTTACAGCCTTTCTCAAAAATGTATTAAGTGTTGTATTAAGTGTATTTTTTTTCTTCAAAATTTTACACACTCAAATCCCAGAAGGCGTTTATCTATAGATTCTAGTACATCTTGGACATCCTTACGGGGAGACGAGGCCTCAGGCGGGTCCTGGGGACGGCTCCTCATGGTCCCGGGTGTTTACCTCTCAGCTGATTATTTCGGCGGTCCCATGACAAAAAACTCAAAAACTTTGTCAATAAATGTTTGCAAACTTCCTAAATTTTCTCCACTTACCTCCAGGATGAGTGAGTTATATTTACCAGATTTATTATTTTTGCGTTGTCGGTGAATAAATTAGGCGAACATGAGTCTTAATTGTTTGTGGCAGTTGGTTAACGAGCTGCCATCTGCTTCAAACGCTGCCGCGTGTCCGGTGATTGGCCTTCAGCGCATGCTCAGAACCCGTTTTCAGTACTTTCACTGCTTTGCTAAACAGAATTTTACTGCTGAGGATACCTTTAACTTTTGTCTGGTGCAGAAATGACTGGTCCTGTCCTCTTAAGCCCGGACCACACGGTGTGATTTGCCGCCGTCTTAGCCAGATCCCTCATGAGCATAATCATGCTCGCTTCATAATCGGAAGGTTTCAGGTTCAAGCCCTGCTCAGTTGTCGCTGTCGTTGTGTCCTTGGGCAAGACACTTAACCCACGCTGCCTGCTGGTGGTGGTCGGAGGGACCGGTGGCGCCAGTGCTCGGCAGCCTCGCCTCTGTCGGTGCGTCCCAGGGCAGCTGTGGCTACATTGTAGCTCATCCCCACCAGTGTGTGAATGACTGATTGTGCTGTAAAGCACCTTGGGGGGTTCTAGGACTCTAGAAGGCACTCTATCAAATACAGAGCATTTACCAAAACAATGGAGAATGTGAGGGTGATTTGCAAATTTGTGCTCGTCCAGTCTGACGCTGCTACAGCTTTGTTAGATATCGCAGCGATCTGTGACAGATTGGTACTTCTCTGTACTTCAGTGGGTTATTGTGTGTAAAGGAGGAGGAATGACGAGCAAACAGAATCAGCTGTTGAGCTGGAAGATGGGAAAAGGAGACCCGCAGCCGGAGTCTGACGCTAAAGCAAGGGTTTGACAAACGAAGCTCCTCCTTTGAGGACGGCGAGTTGGGTAGGGAACGGACACTGAAACAGTTTTTATCTTTTCACCTGTTCTGGTTAGCGGTCTGCTTTGGGAGGTGCGCTCATGACGCAGCGTGTCCTGCTGGAGAGACGTGGTGCCGTCTGCCTCACTGAGACCTCTCGCCGTAATGTGTGACATGAACAATCCTTTGCAACGGCCACAAATCACAGGTTTCCCCGGACCTTTCTTCCCGCTGTCGCCTGTGCTGTCCAGAATGGAAGTTTGTGTTTGAGGGATGCTTCAATCTACCCTTTCCTTTATTTAGTGGTTAATTTGACAAATTTGCATTTTATAATGAATCCAGTTTTTATTACGTTTCACTTTTTTATTTAGTCGGAGCCGGACCTGATGTTTGAATGTACAATCTGATGTTATAAAGGAAGCCGCTCCAGAGTGACACAAGAAGCTAAATCACAAACCGTTATTGTGAAGGGGACACACACAGGTTGAAACAGAAGAACCAGAGTGCTCTTCCAGCAGCAATGTAGAAGCTCCAACTAGCTTGTGTTAATACCAGCTTTTCTGAGCCTTCACATAGGTTAGGAACCTTCCATCGTTCCAAATTCCAACAAAACTCACAGGGAACACATGGAAAACCAAGTTCTTCTCCCAAAGCAAAACCCAGAAGTCTAAGAATAAGTGAGCAGGAAGACTCCAGTCCTAAGAAGCCTTAATCTGCCGTGCAGTTCCAGTCTTGGGAGGTATGATCTCCATCCTAAATGGGATGAAAAACTCTAGGAGAGCTCTGGTGTCTTTTAACTCGAGGGAATATTCCTGTGCGACCTTTTCAGGCGTCCAGGTTTGGGGCTGGTGCTGGTGACCTCCAAGGACCTTCAGAGCTTCTGGAAGGCTTAGTTTGCCTTTGGGAACATCTGTGAGCTCCACCAGGCCCAACGCATTTACTGGGAAGTTAACGCGGAGAGGCCTCCGCTCCACTTCCTCACCCACCGTCGCCTCCTTGGATGCCTGAGAGAAGTTCAAACACAAAATCAGAGGATGTTCCTTCATGTGTTTAAAACGCGAGCGTGAAAAGGTTTCGATCAGACCGCCAATGGGAAAGGCTTCGTGTTGGGTTCGCTGAAGCGTTATAAGCCCAACAAATACCCACTCCTTGTTTATTGTAACAGCGAACCCCTTACACTCTGTAAAACCACAGAAGATGTGTATCAGCATCAAATCAAAGATACTTTATTAATCCCAGAGGGATTCTCCCGCTCCTGATAATAACTTTTTGCTTTCCTTGACGTTGGATGTGCTACTACTAGTTTACCCGTTGTGTGTGTAGCGGTCGATACTGTTGTGTGAGGTCTGAAATGTAATGATGGCCAGCAATGGCACACTTCTGGAGCCAAGGCAGCTGACCAGGTGAAACCAGACCCAGCTGGGTCCTCCTTCTGGGCCGAGACAGTGATGGTGAGGGAGTTAATGGAAGCCAGTGGGCGGCTGTTTACTGACTGGTTTACACAGCTGATGATGTCGTGACCGAAAGCTGGTCTGAGGCACAGACCAGAGCTGATCCGGGTCTCTGACCTCTGACTTTAACGGTAACTACCGCAGCGGGGGGGGGGAACAGGTGAGCTCTGACCTCTGTAGAAGCGGGATCTCTGGACTCCACGTACACGGACCTGAGCAGGACCTGCAGGGACTCGCTCTTCTGTTTCACCGACTCCGTCACTGGGACACACAACACACCGTCATCCACCGCCCCTGACCCTGCCCGGTGCCCTCCCCCCGACACTCACCGTCAGGACTGGCCGCGGGAGGAGGAACATTCACCGCATGTCGGGGCGCTACCTTTGGCTTTTCCTTGGAAATTTCCCGAAGCGCCCGATTTTCCAGGTTGACATTTCGCAGCATTCGCCCGACCCGTGCCCCCATGGTGGATGACTTTAAACCACTTCCTGGTCTACGGCGAGCGACGAGGTTCTTTTGACAAAAAAAGTACCGCCGACAGCGCCCTCGCGCGGTTGGAGGACTCTGGGGTATTATGAATAATGAGGTAATAACGATGTGTGCAATACTGGAACCTCTTTTAGTCAGATACCTTCCTTTTGTGTCTTGAAAAAAGAGCTTAAGCTTTATTTGAAAACAATCTCCACCTCGAACAATAACAAAGCCATTAAGACACTAAGTCTCTGCTCAAAATTTCTAATCTTTCCATAATTCATACTCTGCTGCATGTCTCGTATTGTTTCCTGTTTCGATCATCATTCTCATATGTTTCATAATTTGTATGCAGTAACCCCTGGCGTTGAATCTGTTGGTATGTTTTTGTTATGTTTATACTGTTTCCATGTACTTCATAGTGGATATTGAGTCTTTTGTGCATATTGACTGTATTGTTAACGAACCAATATCCTAAATAAAAAATAAATAAATAAATAACCTCTTTTAGTCAGAAATGTCCATATTGTTGGGAACTTGTTTCCTTTTAAAGCTCAGGTCGTTTCAGCTGATGCTTTAATCACACAGAGTGAAGGTTTCCTCCATCGTGGCTGGACCACCAAATACCAAATAGAATATTTACTAAGACATCACAATAGAACTGTAGACACATTATTGTGTGTGTGTGTGTGTGTGTGTGTGTGTGTGTGTGTGTGTGTGTGTGTGTGTGTGTGTGTGTGTGTGTGTGTGTGTGTGTTCTCCATCCCCAGTGAGTCGTGAAGGATGGCTGCTTATACTGAGCCAGGATTCTCTGGAGGTTTCTTCCTGTTAAAAGGGAGTTTTCCTCTCCACTGTCGCTATATGCTTGCTTAGTATGAGGATTACTGTATAGTCACTGACACTAGTCAGTGACTCGATGCAACCTGCTGGGTTCCTTATATAGGAAACATTATTTCTGATTGGCTTAATGAACTGACCTGAATTGGAATGTTTACTATGTGAAGTGCCTTGAGACGACTCTTGTCGTGATTTGGCGCTATATAAATAAACTTGAATTGAATTGAATTGAATTGTGCTGCTGGTGACATCTTAACTGTTGGGAGTTGGTGGACATGTGACACATCAAAAGAACATCTAACATGTGGGGCAACAGTAGCTCAGGTGGTAGAGCGGGTTGTCTCATGATCAGAGGGTCATGGGTTCGATCCCTTGGGCAAGACACTTCACCCAACTTGCCTGTGTTAGTGGTGGTCAGAGGGGCCGACGGCGCCAAATGGCAGCCTCGCCTCTGTCAGACCTCCCCAGGGCGGCTGTGGCTACAAGTAGCTTACCATCACTAGCAGTGTGTGAATGTGAGAGTGTGTGAAAGCGTCTTTGGGTGTCTAGAAAAGCGCTATATAAGTTCAATGCATTATTATTATTATTATTATTATTATTATTATGTCTCTCTGATGGGCTCGGTCCCAATCCTATCCATCCTTCACTCCCAAAGAGAACCTCAACATCTTGAGCTCCACAACCTCCAATCCTATGATGTCCTCATGGACACTGTCTCTAAACCAAGCAACATGGCTGCTCTTACTAATGGCTTCTACACCTGAAACCTTTTTATCACAAATCACACCTGACACTTCTCTCCACCCTCTGTCCCTACGTCCTTAAAGTCCTCTACCTTCTTTACTCCTACTCCCTGTGACATCACCATTCCACTTGTGTCCCTCTCATTCACACACACCTCTCCAGGTGTCCGTCCACCTGCTAGCTGCTCTAACAG